CCCAAAGCCACTCGGGCCCCACAGCGGCCACAGTACAGGAAAGGCCCTGCACGGTGGATCCTGTGCCCGTCGCACTCGAACAAGTATCCCCCCGCCTCCGCCTCCATAGCGGCAGCAGCAGCGGCAAGGGCAGCCTCCCCCTCCCCGGAGACGTGCTGCCGCCAGCCCAGCCGCTCGGTAGCAGCCGCTAGCTGGCGCAGCATTGGGCCAGGCTCGCACCGCGCCCCTGGTTTCAGCAGCGATTTGCAACTGGCTGGGGTCCGAGCAACGGCCAGACAGAGCCTGCACTGAACCGCCGAGGACCCAGGAGCCAGGGGCACGGTGTCATGAGCCACTAACACCAGCTGGGGCGCACGGGGCCCTGGGGCCCGAGCCGGCACTGGAGCAGCAGGCGCCTGGGAGACCTCGGGACGAGCACAGATTATCTGGACGGCTCGTGAGAGAAACTGGCACGACAATTTGCAATCGCTTATGGCGGCCTGGAGCGACGCAACCGCCACATCAGCAACAGCGATGTCCTGGGCTCCGAGCTTGGCAAAGAAATCGGCCCAAGCATTACCCATGAAACGCCATATATCACCAGCGCCCGCATCCTGATCGATTAACCCCTGGAGCGACAAGCGTGCAGGAGTCCAGTGGAACTCAGGACGCAGAGCGTGCTGGGAGCAGACAAGGAAGATTTTGCGCCAAATCGACGCGTGGGCTGAGGTACCGCACTCAAGGTTGGGGTCCCAGCCTCGCCCTTCATTGACAAACGAAAGGTGGTCGCTAATTATGACAGGTGGCAGGCCTCCCGAGGGGCCGAGGGCGATGGCATCTAGCCCCGCCCACCTCTCGCTCCTGGGGACCGTTTGAAAACGCCCTGGGAGACCGCCAAATCTGGCCCTCAATGGCCATCCATCGTCAGAAATCTCAACCACGCTCCAGCCGCATCTAGTGGCCTCGGGCACCGAGCTATGGAGCCCAGACCCGTCCGTGAACCGAAACCTGCCCCAAGGACCTTCCGCGAGTCCCCAGGTGAGCACAGGCGGCCGAGCTGGGGGAGGAGGCAACTGGATAGGGAGGGAGGGAACCCCGTAGAGCGACGACACGACATCCCAATCGGCCGACCCCAGACTCCTCCCTTTCTCCCGCAAGGCCTGCCTGTGCTGCCAAACGTCCTCAGGGAAGCCCATGCCATCCCCCGAATCCTCGCCCGAGGCGAAGGCACTGGAACAATCGAAAAACTGGTGGCCCATCGACCCTCGCTCCGCTCCACAGAAGGTGCACTGAGCTGACGGAGCCAGGCCCGCGTCGAATTTGCGAGCAGGCGGCCACAACCCTCCAGACCACAGGGCGCGCATCGAACCTTGACGGGCACCCGCTGGGAGAGCCAGGAGGGACAGGCGCATCGCTCGAGCCCAACAAAACTCGGATCCCGTCGCCTCTGGCCAGTGGAAGGGGACCCTACGCCAAAGCCAACGCTCAACCCCGTCTCGAACGAGGCTCCGAACTTCGCTGGGAGCGCAGTCATACAGAGAGATGTGCTCGCCACGGTCCGAGAGGAGGAGGTGGGGGGCCTCTAACTCCCAGCCGATGCGACGAAGCGTGAGAAGCACAGCAGAGATGGGACCGAAACACTGCCTCCAAGACCCCTGCTGACCCAACCGATCACGGATGGCCACGACCGCAGTCCGGAGGCGAGAGAGGGAGGTCCGACCATCCCACAGCCAGCACGCATATCTGACAACCAGAGGGCAGGTGGCGTCGAAGGTGGGATCATAAAACCTGTCTCTCTGCGTGCAAGTATACGCAGTGAGCGACGCGAGGCCTCGCCTAGCTCCTACCAACTCGCCTGCAAACGACCTCAACTTCATGAGGGTGGAGTCCGTGAGGCCTACCACCCCCGCTCCATGACTACCTGACGGCATAACACCGGTGCGCCACAGAGTCCTCACCTTGAGACCCCCGGCCTTCCTGAGGGCCCGAAGCCGCCCCCGGCGCCCCAACACAGTACCCAACCTTTTTCTTTCGAGGGCTCTGCGGGGGATGCCGCCAGCAAACGTGTCGTGACCTAGGTTCCTGGCCGTCTGAAACTGCTGCAGCCTGAGCCTGCACGCTCGGGCCTTGACGGCCTTGGCCGCCTCCGTCGACGACGCCAGGTACCCCGACTTCGATGCCTGGAGCAAGAAGCCGAGCGGGCGGGTATACCTGGCGAAGGCCACCACAGCATTAAACACTACACCTGCATACTTGGCCACTGCCCCTATCCACTGGAACGAAACGTCGTCCATGAGGCCTCGGGGCACCACAAAATCGAATTCCCTCTTGAGTCTCTGGAGGGGCCTAAGCAACAGGACCTGCATTAGAGTGGTGGCATGGCTGCGCCCCGCGAGAATCCCCTGGTAGGACCTGTAGGAGCGGCTGAGCGACCCAAACCCGCGGATGCGCCGAGGCTGCTGGTAGTTGCACACCAACATCCAAGCAAGCCGAAGGGGGTATCCCACGGCAGCAGCCTCGGCCATCACAGCCGACAGCAGGACTAATTCATAACATTTAATCATGTCGATTAGCACCGTCACACAGTGTTCACCTATGCTGCGAGCCACTTCGGCCTCCAAATTGTGACTGAAGGCACAATCGAGACTGGAGCGCCCAGGGCCCGAGCCCCACAAGAGCTCGCTACGATGGTTCCCCTCCCACTCCACCGAAACAGGCCTCCGAACCCTCCCCCACACCCGAATCAGAGAGTGAATGAGGGCTATCAGCCTGTGCTCGCCTGGTTTATCAGGCTTGGCGAGGCGCACTAACTCGGTGGCCAAGCGATCGCTCGGCCACATCCCAAGTTTTTCGCACTGCATAAACAGAACGGCGACGGCCTGCAGAGCCTCGTCGCTGAGGTGCCAGAGGCTGCAAGGCGCGAGGCTGCCTGGACCAACAGCAGTCCGGGAGGAAAACTTCCGCACGGCAGCTCGGACTTCGACGTGAGAGATGCACGGCAGCAGCGGCCAGCTAGCAGCCTCAGGCGGCAGCTCCAAGCGCGAGCAGCCATGGGTGGCCCAGATGCCGGACCAGAAGTCGAGGCAGCTATTGGCCCGCTCATGAGGCTGAACACCGGCGGCCTCAGCCTCCGCAGGCTGCAGCGCCTGCACCTTGGAGAAGCGATGGGCCTTGGACGCGCCCTGCACAAAGCTCGCCTCGACCCAAGCATTCCACGATTTGGCACGCACCGCCGCAAAGTCGGCCAACTTGCTCTCGCCCTGATGGACGAGCCAGTCCACCATGTCGTGGAAGTAGGCGTCCGCGAAAACCAGCAGCCCCTGCTGGAAGAATGGCAGGACACAGGCATCGACCTCCGCGAAGACCCACTTCTGCTTGAGCACCCGCTTGACGAAGGCCTCCGTATCGTAGAGCAGGATCCCGATCTTGGAGGTCTCCGCCGCCGTGGCGCCCCCAGCAGCCCGCGCCTCCATCAGCTGAGGGATCCTGGAGCTGAGGCTCTCACTGACCCGTCGCAGGTGCCTGGCCCAGCCCGCCGCCACAGCCCACGCATCGGTGGCCGTGCCCCTCTCAGGAGGTCGGCGTCGCGGCGGCTGCCAGGCGAACTTCTGCCAACGCGTTCGCAGCGGCCCCGCTCGCCCAACTTGGCCAGCACAGGCCTCGCCCACCAGGTCGAAGCGGCCGCACAGCTCCTGCTCGATGCCTTGCAGCACGTCGTCCCAGCACTGAGCCACCGCACCCTCGCAGGAGGCACGCTCGGTCGCCTCCTGGACCGCAGCCCAGATCCCCACCGGAGGTCGACTGCAGCCGGGCGGCGCCACCGCCGCGAAGGCCTTGGGCCCCCACGGCACCCTGCACCACAGCGGCCTATCATGGGCCAGGAGCGGCAGCAGCACAGGCTTGTGAGGGTACGTATCGGCCGCCTCCACCACCTCGGGCAGCCGGACGCGGCTCAGAAGGCGATGGTCCACCCCGAAGTAGTCGAGCTTCGTGCCTGGCATCTTCTGCCTGCACGTCGATGCCGCCGAGCTGAGCAGCACAGCGCCCACCGAGTTGAACCACGGGGCCAGCAGCTCGGGGGACATGTTGAAGTCCCCGCCCACAACCCAGCAGTAGCCACGGCTGGCGACGTCCAGCACGTAGTGGCCCACAACCCTCAGGATCTCCAGGTTGGAGACGTCGAGCCCGACCGAGTCGTAGAGGTACACGGACACGAAGACGATGCCGCCAGACACGCCCCAATGCACTAGGCCCGCAGAGGCCCTGCCTGGCACCAGGCACCCCGTGGGATGCAGGGGCGGCGCGCTCACCTGGATGGCCGCGGAGGCGAGGACCGCGCAGCCTCCACGCGTGCCTCCTTCGGGGGAGGGGATCGCCGTGTCCCAGACGCCGTGGAAGCCCAGGCTGCGCACCCGTTGCTGCAGACTGGCGACCTTGTCGTCGCCCGCGTGGTGCTCCTGGACGAGGACGACCTGGGCATCGAACGAGCTATAGCCAGCAGCCGCTCCAGGGCTCCGTACGACGACACGTTGGTGGTGGCCACGAACCCTTTGACCGCTGCCCGACAGTCGTCAGCAGGCGGCCTCGACTCAGGACCGTCGGCCTCCAGATAGCGCCCAGCAGCGCGCCCAGCAGCGCGCCCAGCAGCTTCGCCGTCGGCGGCCGCAACGCTGGCCCCCGACGGGGGACAGGAGAATGTCGCAGACACCGAGGCCGCCAGAACACCCCGCTCCACAGCGCCCACGCCTGCACCAGCCGCCGGCGACGAAGCACAGGAGCCGGGGGCCGCCGAGACCGCCGCCGAAAACTCGGTCTGGAGGGCCTGGGTCGAGACACCCCCCGGCAAGTCCAGGATTTTCCGGAAAAATCCTGGACTTCCCTGCCGGTGTCGGGGGGGTTCTGGAATCACATCCGGCGCCCCATCGAGGTCGGTCGACACCGGCACACGCTGGCCGCCCGTGGGGTCGACGGCCGAGACCACTTCCAGCACAGACATCATCATGACATAGTGCAGGACAGATCTACGCCACTGCAGCGGCCTCAGGCGCCTCCAACCGCTGGCGCTTGGCGAAGCTCTCGAGCCCATCGGCGAACCGCTTGGCCGCCTCGCGGAGATCGGCCTCCTCCGCAGGCACGGCTTGCCCCATGGCCTGCAGGAAGGCCTGGAGCACCTCTGGCGTGTCAGCGCCCACCCCAGCAGCAGTAGGGAGGCGGAAAGCCCGAGACCCAGCAGGCCGCTGCACTCCGCCTGGCTCGGGGATGGGCGTGCCTGGAGCCGCGCCGCCCGTCGGGGGGGCCGAGCCTCTGGCGGCCTCCGCCTGCCGGCGCTCGAGCTCCGCCTGCCGCTCGGCATTCGCCTTGACGGCCGCAGCACGGACGCGGCCCACCGCGCGGTGGAGGTCCTTGGCCGCCTCCTCATCCGCGCCGAAGGTACCCAGCACCTGGACCATCTGCTCGGCGGACATCTGGACGCTGGGCAGCACGGAATCGAGCGAGGCCTTGACGCCCTCGATGACGGTCGCCGGCTGCGGGAACTGCAACGCCACCTCGGCCCGCTGCGCCTCCAGCACAGCAATCTCGCTCTGGATGGTGCCAAGCTCCGTCGCCGCCTCGTCATGCTGCGACTGGAGCTCTCGCACCTGGCCGAGGAGTTTGGCGACGCCCGCGCGCTTGGCCTCTGCCTTGCGCTCCAATCCTTTGATCTGCTGCGAAGGCTGCTGCATCTGGACAGGAAGCGGGCGCGAGCCCATCCGCTTGACGCGCAGCTGCTCGAGCTCCTCCGCGTACTTCCTGCGCATTTCCTGCAGGCCGCCCGAGGAGTCGCTGACGCCCTCGGTCTGGTCGAGAAGATCTCGCAGCTCCTTGGCCCGATCCGACTCGACCTCGGCCTCGAGCTGCACCAAGGCCGCCCCGCTGTCGACTGCCATGCCGAACGGGTCTGGCGCGGGCGCAGCGACCCTACCAGCGGCCTTGAGTTTGACGACCTCCGACTGCGCCTGCTTGAGCTCGGACTGGAGCTTGCGCAGCTCGGCCGCTGCCGTCTTTTCCTTGGAGGACACAGACGGCACATTGGGCACCCGGTTGGAGTGGAAGCACTGCCCCTTGGACCGCTGGCACTGCTTGCACGACACCAGCTCGGCATGGTTCCACCAGCGCGCACCGGACGGGGCCCAGCAGAAACGGCAGTGCCATTGCTGGGACCACGCCACCCGCTGCTTGGTGTGCCCGGACTGCAGCTTGGGCGGCGCCATCCTGCTGAGGCGGCGAGGCTGCTCGCGCACAGGAGGGCCACCAAGAGCAGCCTCGTGATCGCCGTTGCTCCTGCAGGAGCTCACGAAACGCTGCGCCGCACGGGGCTGACCGCACGACACTCTGCCTGGGGCGGACCAGGCGAATCGATGAAAGCTGGCTCGGGAACAGAGCTATCCCGGTTTGGCACGGAGGCGCGGAGCCCCCAAGTGCAGAAAGCTTGAGCCAAAATGGCTACGGAGGAGACGGAGGAGGAGGAGGAGGAAGAGGAGGAGGAGGAGGAGGAGGAGGGGGGCCTCGGGCGTCATCCCGTCGGGGTCCACGGTGGCCCACGGCGGCAGCGACGACGCCGCGCGCTGCTGCCCTGCGCCCCACGGCGCGCCGCCGCCCGCGCAGGGCCCGGGGGCGCGGCGGCGGCGAACGCCGCCGCGCGCGCGCCGGGCAGTGCGGCGGGCGCCGCGCGCGGGCGCCGCCGCGGCGCGGCGGGCGCCGCCGCGGGCGCGGCGGCGATGCCGCCCTGGCGCGCAGCCGCGGGAGCGCTCCTGGCGCGCGGCCGTCGGGCGTGGGCGGCGGCCCAGGCGGCGGCGGCGTCCTCCTCCTCCTCCTCCCCTCCTCCTCCTCCTCCTCCTCCTCACTCCTCCTCCTCTCCTCCTCCTCCTCCTTCCTCCTCCTCCTCCCCCTCCTCCTCCTCCTCCTCCTCCTCCTCCTCCTCCTCCTCCTCCCCCTCCTCCTCCTCCTCCTCCTCCTCCTCCTCCTCCTCCCTCCTCCTGCCTCCTCCTCTCCTCCTCCTCCTCCTCCTTCCTCCTCCTCCTCCTCCTCCTCCTCGATCCTCGATCTCCTCCTCCTCCTCCTCCTCCTCCTCCTCCTCCTCCTGGCGCGCAGTCGCCGGTCAGGTCAACCAGCACCGAATCGGGAAACTGGAGCCAATCGGGATGCAAGTCGGATCGAGCCGCATCGGCGAGGAGTCGGGATCGCATCGATCGAATCGGATCGGCCGCGCCAGGACGCACAATAGCGCCATGCTAGCGTCGGGCCGAATCGCATCGAAGGAACATCGGAATCGAAGCGGACTGGGCCGACCTTACTCGGTGCCGACTGAGATCGATCGGATCGACATGGACACCGCCGCAGATGGCCACGCCGTCGTCGTCGTCGTCGACGTCGTCGTCGTCGTCGTCGTCGGAATCGTCTCCTCCTCCTCCTCCTCCTCCTCCTCCTCCCCCTCCTCCTCCTCCTCCTCCTCCTCCTCCTCCTCCTCCTCCTCGTCCCTCCTCCTCCTCCTCCTCCGCCTCCTCCTCCCTCTCCTCCTCCCTCCTCCGCCTCATCCTCCTCTTCCTCCTCCTCCTCCTCTCTCCTCCCTCCTCCTCCTCCTCCTCCTCCTCCTCCTCCTCCTCCTCTCGTCCTCCTCCTCCACTTCCCTCCTCCTCCTCCTCCTCTCCTCGATCCTCGATCCTCGATCCTCCTCCTCCTCCTCCTCCTCCTCCTCCTCCCCTCCTCCTCCTCCTCCCTCCTACTCCTCCTCGATCCTCTCCTCCTCCTCCTCCTCCTCATCCTCCTCCTCCTCCTCCTCCTCCTCCTCCTCAAGCCGCTCTGGCTCAAAGCCTACCGTGGGCAGGTGGCGCCTGCTTCCATCTTTTCAGCCTACCGTAGGCAGGTGACGCCTGCTTTCTCGCCAATCAGAAGCGCAGCCCCAGGTCAGCAGCCAAGCCTGGGGCCTCCCTCGTTCCATCAGACATGGGCGGCCAGCGACAGCCAAGCCGTGGCAGAGGAGACGGACGTAAGTACCTCTGCTGCCAGTCTGGTGGATGCAAAGGATGGACATGGGCGGGCAAGCCGTTCAAGTATTGTGGTCAGTGTGGCTCAGCCTTCATAGGACGAAAGACAGGACAGCCTGCTTCGCCCCCCCAGTCACAGACTACATCAGGCGGCACTCCCAACAGGTGGCGCAGGCGCTCGTCCAGCCCAGCGCCGAAGGGCCACCAAAAAGGAGCTGCAGTTGTGCGTTAACCCGATGAGCCAGATCGTGATCCAGTTGCTGTGTGCTCGGCAGCTGTTCAGTTCTGGAAGAAAATGGAAGGCATCAGAGGGAGTCATTACCTGCAGGCCGTGGAGGAGTTAAAAGCAGTGAAAGCATCGACACTGGCAGCAAAACCATGGGACCAGCAGCGGAAGTCGCTGCACGACCAGCTCGAAGCCGCCAAGAAGAAGCTGCTCAATGCCCAACAGAATTGTTACAAAACGTGTGAGGCCACGGTCACCCTGGCCAATGACTACACCAACCAGTGCAAGCTCGTCGCCGACCTGTCAGCGGGGACGCAGCAGTTAGAGACCCAGCACAAGATGGCAGTGGAGCAGGCGTTGAAGGAGCACGTCAGCTCCTCGGCCCCCTCGCTGGAGACGTACATCACCAGCCAGTTCCCGCCTGGGCTCGCGCCGTCCGCTGAGGTGAAGCAGGCCGTCATTCAGTTGTCGGCGAAGCTACGCGACGAGTGACAGGCAGCCCAGGCAGCCCAGGCCAGCTCTCAGCAGGCCCAGACGGCGTCCCAGGTGGCGGCGGCGTCCCAGACGGGCGCCGAGGAGGTGGCCGTAGGCCCAGCCGCTGCCGCTGCCGACCCGATGGCGCCGTCGCTGGCCGCGGATGGCACATGCCAGCCGTCCCAGGCCGCCACCGCCACCCCATCGGGAGACGCCGGCCCTGAGCTGGCTGCTAGCCTGGACGTCGAGGCCGAGGCCATGCAGCTGGACCAAGACGAGGCAGACAAGCGGGGCCAGGGCATGAAGCGCGCAGGCGACGCGACCGACCAGGTTCTGAACATCAGCGGCCAGAACTCGGCGCTCACGCCCCAGCAGCAGATGGCCAACGCGGCGCCCCAGTCCAGCGCGAAGGCTCTCTGCCTGGCCAGCAAGGGCAAGGGCGGCAAGGGGGCGGACGGAACGCCGCGTGGGTAACACGGTCAGGTTCGCCACAATCAATGGAAGCTGCTGGAGATCCATTCGGGAGTTCCTGAAGTCAAAAGCAGCCGAGACGGTGGACACCATCTGCTGTCAAGAAGTTCGGGTATTGAGGGATGCGCTCCCTTTCATCGCACAGTGGCGTGGGCGAGAGGGGTGGAATGCGATGCTCTCTCCAGCCGTGCTCAGTGAGAAAGGGTACCCTGTCCAATGGACAGGGATTTTGATTCGTGACGGGCATGACTTTGGAGTATCTCGTGTGCCAGTGCCTGCAGGGGTAGCAGAGTCACGGCGCGCAGCAGTTTCACTTGAGCTTCCTGGACATCGTCCATTCGCACTAGTATCTCTCTACTTGGCCGACGGGGTGGGCCTTAACAAGTATAACTTAGAGCTCTTAGCTGGGGTCGCAATTCTTCAGGACGCTGTACGACAGTCACTCATCATTGCTGGGGATTTCAATGTTCCGACGAGTAAGCTCATCGAGTCGAACTACCCGCTGAGAGCAGGCCTTAAGATTTTGGCCCCGACCAAACCAACATGCAAGATGAAGAAGTCCGAGTCCATCATCGACTTCGTTCTCGCCTCGTCGTGGTTTGACCAGGACCTCTCAGGGGCCACTGTTCTGGACGAGTACCCCATGAGCCCGCATAGGCCCGTGCTGTTCCAGCTGCGCTGCGGGAAGCCCCTCATGGTGCCAGTCTTGGAGAAGGCCCAACCTCTCGCTACTTCCAGGCCTTATGGGCCGACAAACCATGTGCCGTCTTGGGACCGTACGGAGGCCGCCTTGGAATTTCTGGACCAGGTCATTCATCGAGAGTCTGGGATTGAGGCCCGCTTGCTGGCCCTAGGTTCGGCATGCCAGTACTTCGCCTCGGACATGGCGAAGACGATCAGTATTCACACGGACACCCCGCTTAAGTCGCCCACTGCCCCGCGAGTGGGCCTTCCAAAGGTCCGCTGGGCACCAGGAGCCGCTCGGGAGGTGGAACCCAGGGCCAGTTGGAGGAGTCTATAAGTTCCGGTTCGGTGGTTGAAAAAAAAACAAAGTTATGGATGTCATCCGACTGGTTTATTCCAAGGAGGAGTTTTACCTTTCGGAGATTCTGACCAGCATCCAGTCACCACCCCCAGAGCTCGAAGGTACCGAGGAGTTTGCCCGTTTGCTCGCCAGTGTTAGGACTGCTCTAGGCGCTGCTGCCCAGGACCAGGACAATGGCCAGATGGATCCCAAGCTCGTGTTGAAGGTATTTGAAGAGCTCGATGATGCAGTTGACCACGCGCTCCAAGCTGAGGAGGCCAAGGACCGACAACGTGGAACAACGTCTTGGAACAACTGGGTCCAGGAGGCCATGTCTCGGGGAGTTGGTTGGGCCCATCGCTGGACCTCAAAGCTCACGTCCTGGCAACCTCAGAAAGTTTGGCGCCCCGGGCTGCAGACATTTTCAGGTCGGCCTTCAGAGTTGCCCCAGTCCGAGGCAGCCCGCCTCGCAGGATTGTGGCAGGCCACGCCGCAGGAGCAGGACTTTAAGTTGCCGTCGGCCGAGCGTGACCGCTTGGGGCCCATCACGCCTGGCCAGATCAGATCGGCTGCCAAAAGATTCCCAAAATCTACCAGCCAGACTTGGGATGGGTTTCACCCTCGTCACTTTGCTTATCTCAGCAATGTTGAACTTGAACATGCGTGTGAGCTTTTGGCAGCGATCGAGGAGATTGGAGTATTTCCGACAGCCATCCGCGGCGCCATTATCACGCTGATTGAGAAGCACAAGCCTGGCCAGTCTGAGGGCCCCTCGTACCGTGGTATCGGTTTGCTCCCTGCCCTCTGGAGGGCGCGGTCCAAAATTCGCCAGGAGGAAGCTCGTCGGTGGGAAAGGGCCAACAAGAGGCCTTATCTTGCTCATCAGTCTGGTCGAGGTGCGCTTGAAACTGTTTATGCTCAGGCCTTGAAGGCTGAACTTGTTGGCTATCAAGCGGTTCACACTGGTGGGGTTTTACGGGGTTTATCAAACAATTATGGGGATGCCAATCGGAAGAAATGGAAAACTCGGGC